TCCAAATTAAAAGTTTAGGTGAAAAAAATTATTTTTTGATGAAAATATCGGTTTAATTTTACTGCATCATTGTTTAAACAATAAACCTTCTATGCGACGTTTTCTACGAAGTTTTTACAAAGTTCAACAGGCCTTAAGGGTTTAGGGCTAAAATACAGTTAATACAATTAATATAATATTTATATATCACAAAACTTGTAACAACTGGGGTGGCGTCTTCTCCGACCATGCTCCTTGCCTACTAAATTGGCTTACTATTCTCCTTTATTGATCCCTGTTCGTTACTCTTTCTTCCTAACCATCAATTCCCTCTTTTCTGAGATCTTCCTGTACGCTATCAAACCATTTTTGTCGGGATTGAACTTTTCTTTCTTTTTGTGATTGGACCATGTTTTAGAATTATATTTGGTATTCTCTTCCTTCCTATTCCTATCACATGCTTCATCCATCTCACTCTCTGTGCTTTTTTGAGTTGACTGATGCTTGGTTTATTATATTAGTTCCTGTAGCTCCCTGTTTGTTCGTCGCACCCAACCTTCCATCGTGTTTTTGCCTCCATGCAGAGCCTTGAGCCTTTTTCCCATCTTTCCATTTTCTCCGTGTTTGCTTTTTTCGTTGTCCATACTTTACTTCCATACGTTACTGTAGGCCTTATTACTGTTTTATGTATTAATAAACTTTGTTTATCTCATCAGCGGTCTTAGACTTGCCTTCCTTGACTTCCCCTTGCCAATCTGGCATTTAGTTCCCATTTTAACTGATCTTTCTTTTCTATAATAACCCCTAGATAAGTAAAATGGACCACTCTCTCAAAATTATGTTTCCTTGATTTATTAGATATGAAAGTAAACTTCCTTCTTTTTTTTTGTCTGTATTTCCGAGTATCTTGTACTTTGACTTTTACTATTTTAGTTCTAAGTCAAAATATTTTGTTTTTTTTTATAACATTTTGTAATTATTTTCTCGTTTTCGTTAGAATAGTAAGATGATCTTCTCCATACTACATAATTTCGTATACTTTCCCAAACCTAACCAGTTTTTCGGGTATGCCCAAGGAGCTCAGTGCTTCATACATTTTATTTTTTCTTTTCCTATTATACATTTGTTTAAAATCTATGAACAGTACATAGGAGGTTACCTTACGTTTAAAACAAGTAGTCTGGGTTTCTTTCAGTGTAAAAATTTGATTTGTCACTGATTTATTAACTCTTAAACCGTTTATCACTCACCTGGTTTATCTTCAGTAAATCTGTTGAGCCTCTCTGTTATCATCCTGGCTAATATCTTGTAACAAGTATGCAACAGAGCAACACCTCTTTAATTTTCACATGTCAACCTATCCCTTTTTTGTATATAGGGTATAATAAAGATTTGGTCCAATCTTTGGGCATAAATTTTCATTAACAAATATTATGTTCATAGAAATAAATAATAAAATTCTATTTTTTTACATAGAAAAAATTCAGTTGCGGTCACGGAATAGTTTACAGGTTCACGTATCTAGGAGCCCATTTTTTTAAATTTTTACTTCGTTTAAACGCACCTTTTACGTCAAAGTGACGTTGCCAGTGGTGTACTAGCTAGAATAGGTAGATTAAAATTAAAATATCAAAATATTTTACAAAATGAAAAATATAGAAAACAGTTTTTTGAATAAAATGGATTATGATCTTAATAACGAAAATAAAGAAGTCTTTTTTTTTAATATGCATTTTATTTTAAATCTATTTTATATTAAATAACGATAAACAATGATAAATAATAATTAATATTTGGTGGAAGCCCCATTCTTGTCAATACAATTTTGCAGTCTTCTGTTCATAGATAGCACCAATCCCCTCATGTTATAGTTAACAAGCTCTTCCCATGCCTGCTCAATTGCTTCCCATAATTCAATTCTATTCCGTGGTCTAAGGTTTCTTTCATTTAGTTTCTTTGTTAACTCTGCCCACACATTTTCGACGGGGTTAAAGTCTGCACTACGGGAAGGCCACGGAAGAACATTAACATCAGTTTCTTCTAGCCATTCTCGAACAATTCTACTCGTATGCACCGGGCAATTGTCATGTTGGAAGATAAAGTCGTTGTTGGGGAATCTCTGGATCACCGATGGCAACATTGTGTGCTCAATAATATGTTTGTAATATAATCCTGTTAACTTCTCCTCTACATGATAACAAACGCCTGGGCCTTCGGCACTTATCCATCCCCATACGTTGACAGAGAATCCTCCACTATTTCTTAAATGATGCGTATACTGTTCATCATACCTATGATTTCTCGGCCTATAAACTCTTATTCGACCATTATTATACGACTGAAATACTTTTTCATCGGAAAATACAACCCTAGACCAAAAATTCTCATCGCGGTTTATAAATTCATTACAAAATTCAACTCGTCTCCTCTTGTGATCCTCAGTCAAAAAAGGTTTCCGTGCAGCTACACAATTTAGCAGTCTTCCATATGCACATATGACTCACGTTCAAATCAGCAGCAACTTGCCTTAGTGACCAACCTTCTTCGAGTTTGGCAATTGCTCTTGCTTTTTGCGCATAATTCAAATGTATTCTAACCATTTTGGAAGAGTTTAATATACTTTTATTTTATTGTTGAACACTCGCGAAAGTATTGACGTTTTGAAATTTTTTGACTTTGACATTTATTAAATCCGTACGACACTGCAATTTTACAGTATTACAATATAAAAAGTAAGGTGTAAACTATTCCGTGACCGCAACTGTACATACCATTACCAACTGATATATTAATTTTTTAAACATTCTATTTGAAATTCTAATAATATATGTGTGTTATATTTTAAATTTACGTAGGTTAATTTTTAATTAAAAGTTTTAATCAAGAAGAGTTGCTGAGGTTTAAGTATAAGAAGTTCAACAACAAAGTTTTAACCAAAAACTACTAGAACATAACATTAGTATGGCCGAAGATAAAACAAACATGAAGAAATTATTAGAACAGATGTTAAATTCAAAATTATTATAACGATAATCGTTAAATAAAATATTTTAAGTAATTGTTTCCCAAGTTTTTCCAAGCAAAACTCCTATTTTAAAAATTTCTTCAATAGGTTCGCCATCTGTTGGTAAAAAATTGTATCACTCTCGAATGTCTTGTAGATTCCAGTCTCTCGAAAATGTCTATCTAAAATCTTACAAACTTACTTGTAATACATACGACGGTGTATTCGTATAATATAAATACCCTAGAAGGGACGGTATCAACTAAATAAAATTGGCAGAAAAGTGAAAGTACAATTTAAAACAATGGAATTATTTTACACATTTGTATTTTTGAATTATATATCAATAATCATAATTATAAATTGATTTAGTTTAACCCTTTCAGTCGTGAATTATGAATATGTTGATTGAAATTTTGTACTTGTCAATGTCTATATATGGTATATATCACTTTTTTACAAATTTTTGGTCATAACTAGAATTTTATACAAAGTGTCCTTTTCGAAATGTTTGAACTAAAATATTTGTCGATATACAACATGCACCTATGCATACATTGTATGTCAACGGTATAAAATCATGTATATTTGTTTACACAATGAGTTCTTTTATTTAAAAATATTTACAACAAAACTACTGACGATAATACAATTTGTGACAATTCTGGTTTTGTTTAAACATACAGTGTATGTTTAAATAAAAACAAAATAAATGTACACATAGAGTGTATGTTACATTCCGCGACCATCCTTTATAACCCAAAGATTTACATCTAGAAATAAAGTATTTTATATCACAGAGAGAAAACGTAATTAAGCAACCAAAGCTTCAGGGTTCGAATAGGACAAGTACTATCCGAACACAGATCTCCGGAGGCTGGAGTGCCACAGAGAGCAGTACTGTCACCCCTACTGTACACAAATTACACCGTAGATATCCCAAGAACACCAGGAACACTACTCGGCCTTTACGCAGACAACACAGAGATTGCAGTTAAACACAGAAGCTTGGAAGTAGAGGTCAATAGTCGACAGGCAGCACTGGATTGAAGAATGGTGTAATCAATGGAAAATAAGAATAAATTCAGAGAAGACACAAGCAATCATATTCAAAAAGAAAAGAAAATTTCCAGAAGAACAGCTGTTAACCCAAGATAATCCCATCGAATGGAAAAGAGAAGCGAACCAGAAAACAGCAACAGCCAGAGCAGCAATAAGAAGACTCGCAGCTAGAAAAAGCAAATTGCATATGAAGACGACAATGACACTGATAAACAGCATCATACTTTCAATAATCACATATGTATGTCTCGCATGGGGACACATAAGCAATTCAAATAAAAAGAAAATACAAGCAGCCCACAGTAACATCCTCAGGACAACCTTTAAAAAAATAAATAAATATAGGCTTCGGCCACCAAAAAAATTTGAAAAATAGTAACAAAAAGGTTGCAGCCATCCAAAAAATTAAGAAAACCCCAAAACCTTAAAAAAAGCACTAACTATGTCACAAATTCTTCTAGAACAACTTTTCTTTCTTTTTTCTTAAATTTGTTAGAAAATGCAAGCTTTTCAAGTATGAAAAAATATTTTTTCTGCGGGCTATAGTTAAAAGGGTATCCTAAATTGTTTAAAAGCAAAACGTCGACATGATTTTGTAAAATAATTTTGCAATATTTAAAATCATTTTTCATATTTTTTTTTTTAATAATATTGATAGAATAAATCTTATTCTTTCGTAAGCTGTTTATAGAATTACTGTAGGTTTATTATTTTCTGACTTATATTGTTGCAAAAAAAATTATCTTTGATAAACAAATAAAATATCTTTTAAACTATCCCAAATGGGTAATTCAATCAACGCTGTAAGCTATTGTGTCAGTAGGCTAAAGGCCATAGTACAGAACAAAAAGAAGATTGTATCTGTTTTGTATAGATGTAAATATCTTAGAAGTAATAACGTTGCCATACAAACAAAATTTGTTTATAACAATCTTAAACGTCTAATTAAATTGTTGCCTCGACTTTTGATTAAATTCTAGACTAGATTTTAGAATTTTCAATGGAAACACAAAAGGAACTATATAATCCCAAGCAACGCAGAGATGGGGTAACTATTGTAATGTATATTTTGTTACTTTTTATTTTTGTATGCTTTAAACTTTGGTTATTGGACAGTCGTATTTTAATACGAAGTTCAACTACGATTTTATTAGTGTTGAGGGTTCATTGGAGGGTTTGTATTGCTATGTATATTGGAGAGATTTATGGTCACTCTACATTTATTGCACCACCTAATGACTCTATTAAGGTAGTGTTTTGATAGTTCGAATACAGACAGGTGTTGTTCACGCTTTCTGTGAGATCTTGACGTGGGGAGAGCAGTATCATCAGCGAAAAGTAGGAGGACTCCGATCCTTGCTGTGGGTGGGGGTTGTCACTGTTGTAGACTGTATAATACAGAAGCTTTAATAGACAAAACGACTCTGTTTAGAGTGGCATGCGCCTACAGGACTGTATCTAGAACGGCCTTGTGGACTAATAGGTATGAACCCTGTGACTGTGAGAAAGATGATCGTGAAGATGACGGGAAGTAAGGGTGGATGGAATAGTGTTCACGATTACATCCGAACGGTAATAAAAAAGAAATTAGAAGAGGAGAAACACCAACTGGACCAACGACAGAGATAAGATCTAGATAAAAAAAGTCGTCAGCCTTATAGCGGCCACCCCACTTTCGGAGTAAGGTTCGTGCGACTGTCAACTGCGCACAAGTAGGAGAGGGTGGTTTTAGTTGGTAGGCTAACAGATACCTGAATCTTTGGCACTGCTATCTTTAGTACTTGAAATTAAACTAGAACCCAAATTTTAGGGACTCAAAATTGAGGTACATAGCATAAAAAAAATTTTGGTGCCCAACCAACTCTCCACCAGGAAAATTCTAATGCACCACTGCATTATAAGTCAATGTATTGTTGTCTGTATCCTGCCACTAAGAGGCACGTACTTTATTGGGGATACTACTACTTTATTCTAATGTGACTTACCTCATTTAAGTTGAATGTAATGTAACAGACCTTTTGGTACCCGTGTCACCCCAGACAAATTAATTTCATTAAAAAAAAAGTTTTAGTTTATAATTTATTTGCGAAATGCAAATAAATATATTGTTTATAAGTCACTTTTTTATTTTTCATAAACATCAGTTCATTTTCTTATCATCTCCACTCTCTAAACCATGTAATCTTCGTCGATTGCTATTATGCCAAATATGTGTCTAATATAATCAATTGAATCAATTATAAACGGCTACAAGTTAATTTCATTCATAATTGTTATTTCAGAATTTTTTTTAAACAATAATTATAGAATGTAATTCTTATTACAATAAATTGTGACTTAATCCCATGTAAAATAACTTTTATTAATTCAAATTCACATCCAACTACAATTATAATTTTTTTTTATTGTACCCTAAAGAATTAAATTTTAAATTGTTCTGTTTTAGTTACCAAACAGATTTATTAATTCAGCTGGTAATTTGAATTTAAATGAAAATTCCTACAAAATTCCTAATTCTTCAGAAGAACCCATGGACTTAAGTATTTCGCAGGAAAATTTGACATACTATCACAGAAGAAGTGAAAATAGACAACACTTTACCACAACAAATCTTGACAATGAACGTAAATATAAAATATATGAAGAATCTACCGAAGTTCCCTCAGAAAGTGTTTCAAATTTTAAGGTATATTTATGTATAGAAATTGTTTCTTGATTTTTGGTTAAGCTTTGATAAGATTGGGTGTTCTGAACTCTTCGCAACATTGCCCCTCCCCCTCGTATCCGATGGAGCTACCTCTATCTAAAGTATGGATTTCCACCCGGTGATGTGTTTCCGTATTTGACGATTTCATCTTGCAATTTTCGTTCTTCTTATCCGTACGTATTTCTGTTGTTTCTGTAGGTTGCTAGTTCCTAACGCCACGGCCCCCATTTAGAGGACCTTTTCTTCAGCCACCTGTTCTGGATCAGACGCTGTTGGTTCTTCGGCCCTCTCTTTCATTGCGACTTTTCCAGCCATCCACTGCTTTTGAGACCGTTGACCAGTTTTCACCTGTACCCCAGGCTTTTCATAGGGTGCTATCAGCCGAGTCAGCTGAACCCAGGTTTTTTTTTTGAGGTGTTCCTCCACTGTCCCTCCTCTTTTATCCGGGCTTGGGACCGACTTCATCGAATATAGAGCTACTCAATTCACCGCATATCAAAAAAGCAGTCAAAAATGAGCTTACAAAGTACGGCTCAAAAAAATTATACCAGATGATAAAATGGATATTTCAGAAAGCCTTTATTGGAGAAAAAAAGTAAGAGCTCCCAAAGTACTGGACGGAAGCATATATTTCATCTATATTTAAGAAATGAGATAAAAAACGATGCGAAAAGTACAGAGAACTAAAAGATCAACCAAAAGAGCAATCGATAAAAGGCAACATCGGGGAGGATCAGACAGTCTTTACCACATTTACACACTGGTACAGCTGTTGGAAAAGAAAAAATGAAAAAATAGAGATATACATTTGGTATTTGTAGAACTGAGAAAGGCGCATGATTCTGTATCAAGGTCAGAACTATGGGAGGCATTGTACAAATTAGAAATTCAGACGGAACTCATAGAACGTACAAAAGCTCTGTATAAAGAAAATAAATTATTGATATGAGGTTGAACGCTCGAATAAATGAACTTTGAAAATTAAGGCAAATATCGAGCACAAGTTTAATTAAATCTTGCCCAAGTACTTTCGCTTAATATAGCATCTTCAGGGGCATTTCTTCAAATATGGGCTATCCAGCAAGCGTAGAATGTGATAAACATGAATTTTAACATAAAATTGTACAAAACACTACACTAAAACAAGGACAAACAGTTTAAAATTAATTAAAATGGTTCTACGCTCTACATTCTTTGTCAGTAACAGGAGAGAGAATGATATAAATATATAGAGATATATAAATATATATAATATATAAATATATAGAAAGAATGATATAAATAAATGAAATAAATTTTCTATTAAAATGAAAACAAGAATCATATGATACTTCACCACAACAAAAGGGCTCCTGCAGGTTTGTTCCAAATCTCCAACCATATTTTACATATATTTAGAGAAAGCCTTAACTACATGGAAAAGAAAATGCGAAGGAATGGAAGTAGCGGTACGAAAAGAATATATAATATTATATATAATATATGTAGTTCGCCTTTGCAGACGATCAAGTAGTGATTGCACAAGATCAAGAAGACCTCAGTTACATAGAAAAAACTACAAGCAAAATATACCAAGGCTAGCCTAGATAATAACCTCGCGAAAGCAGAATACCTATCTACAAGTGAAGAATACATAGAAGATTTACAGATGGATGACAACGTAACAATCAAAGAAAAGGATAAATTTAAATACTTTGAATTGAGAAAGGTCTTACATTCTATATACGGCATATAAATCTCAATAAACCCGATTATTGTATCGGAATGATATTTCTTAATATTTCTCTATCTAAAACAAAGTGAGATGTCATGAGTAGGATGTCTACGTGGATATCCCGGTGGAATATCCTGGTGCCTACGTTTCCAAATTCATTATTTCAAAAATTGAATTAAAAATCGACATTGATAGCTCTGTAACTCAAAAACAATTGATTTTTGAGTCTTGTGGTAATAAAAACTTTCGATCAGCATGACCAAAGCTACCTCTCTGCAAAGTTTCAGCCAATTTAACTGAAACTACTTTTACATAAGAAAACTGGCGGGGTCCTTGGGATGCGATTTCAACTTGTACAAGATGCTAAAGTGTTACGTTTAGCCCATTCTCTTGTGCGGAATGGAAGCATGGACGTTATAGGCCAGATCCATTAACAAACTGGAAGTTTTTGAAAAGTGCTTAGAATATTATAAAAGTGCAGAGTGAGAAATGAGGAAGTATTTGGAAAAGCGGGCCTCTAGGATAGAGAACTTTTTGATTATGTAAAAAGTCAAAAAAGACTGCATATTTAGGGCATTTAGGGCACTTCTAAGAAAAGAACGATACACTTTTAAGTAGCTAGTACTAGAAGGAAAGACAATACAGGCAAGAGCTAGGGAAATAGACGCACAGTTAAATAAGAGGACGATACTGAAAATAAAGAAAGTTTTAAATATCTGGGAGTTTCATTAAACACGAATGGAACAGAAGAACATAAAATTCAAAGAAGAGTAGTAAAGAAAAACAAAGCTTACCTTTCACTCGCTCTTGTATTACGCTCCAAAACATGCACTGGAGATCGAAAATCGGGGTCTACAAAACTATTATCAGACCAATATGTTATGGATGCGAGACATGAGTGATGACAGAAGATACAAAACAAAAGTCTGAGAAAGAAAAGTCCTAAAGACCTATTACGAAAACGGAGTATGCAGATCTAGATGCAAGCATGAACTCTACTAACTGTTCAAATAAGCACCAATTTCAGAATTCGTTAAATTTTAGAGACTTCGATGGGCTTATGTACTGAGAATGGAGGCCGAAAGATTGCTAAAAAGTGCCCTAGATAGTAAAATGCAGGGCGCAAGACCAAAAAGAAGGCCACGGAAAAGGTGGGAGGGGAAGATTGGCTGGCAAGGATGTTGCAACTTGGAAGAATAGTTTGGATTAGGTCAAGGCTGGATTTGGGCTGTAGTGCTATTGGAGATTCTAGAAGGAACGATAGAGCGTAAAAGTGGTCTAGGACGTATAAAGTGTATCATGACTACATAATATTTGGCAATGGAGAGAAATCCACAGTTAGGAAATGCTTCGCAATGCTGCTAATAATATAATAATTGAATCCTGCCTAGATTTGATCCTGATATAGACAAAAGTCTCATAGTTCAAGACGTTAAGGTATTTGACTGAGAAATTGTGACAGTGGTCATTACACTCTATGATTAGAGCATTTCTAAGAATAAAAAGAAGAAATAAGCAGATCAAACGAAAGTAAAAAATCAGACGCCTTGTAATTCAAAAAACAAACGCATATTAGTTATGAAAATAATGATTGGGTTTTTGGACCATTGATGAGCTTAAAAATTGTTTCAGTTCAATGACTGTTTAACATTTATTTACAAAACTACTACACAAAACACAACTGATTGTCTTACATTTGTTGACCTATATAATTTAATATATTTTTTCTATTATTTAGAAACAAATCGTCCAATTGGGGAATAGTCCAGAAATGTTAAGTCAGCACAATCAACATAACTGTGTCTCTGGAAAAAGAAAACGTGAAAAATTTGTTTATACACATGAAGGAAAACTTGTTATGGTAAGCATGTCACGAGAACAAAACTTTTTTTTACTACCAGTTAATATATTGTAGGTAACCGAAGAAGATACTCGATGTCCACAAAATTTAACCCAAGCTACGCAACTTGAAATTTTAAAAGCGGCCAAAACCCTTTTTACTAAGCGGACTCGAACACTATACCAATGGATTTACCCCACGGCTTCTAAACAAGAAATACGAAGTACCGTTCTTACATTGTGGGATTCTTTGAATGAGAGTGAAAAAAATTTTTATGTATCGCAGGTAATTAATTCGTATTGGAATGCTGTAATTATTGTGCTGTCAGTATTGGGAGTACCTGAAAAAAAATTCGGTTGTTTCTGCAAATATATCACTAGCTGAGATTTTAAGCCATATTGTTTTTCTTCTTTCTGACGTCTTTACCCAAATATATTTATTTGCATCATTACATACAGAGTGGCCCAAAAGTCTGGAAACGGCTAATTATCTCGTAAATTACTAGACATAATTATACAAAATTTGAGATACACTTATTTTGGGATACGGAGATTCCATATTTGGTATTTGCAGTGTTGCCAGATTTTCAGTTTCTCTTATATTTCTAGTAACTTTGGTTTTTCAAATGCATCACACTGTATATTCAGTCATTATTGGAATCTCCTATTAAATACGAGTTCAACCATATGTAACACTTATGATTTTATGTAGTCTGGAAGGTCTTAAATACATAAAACAGAAGTCTGGCAACGCCTAAATTGTTTCAATATATTTTTTAATACTAACTATTTTGAAATACATTAAAACGTAACAATTGATAGTTTAGAATATTTTTAACATAATAGTTACGTTATTAAGTGTTCAAAATGTGCTCCATTTGTGAGTTGACAGCACTCCAATCGATGGTAGAATGCGTCTACCACATTTCTCCATGATTGTCTAGAAATTATTCGAGATTCATCGATAATATTTCATTGCCTTAGCTATTCAAGACTTGCTGGTTAAGTTTTGTAAACTGAATTTTTCAAGTATCTCTAATAAAAATAATCTTTAGGATTGAGATCGGGTGAACGTGGAGGCCATTCAATTCTACCTTGTCTACCAATTTATCGTCCGGGAAATATCTCATCTAAATAACGCCGAACATTTACACCAACTATCTGACGTTAAATTGCTTTCAATAAAAAATGGCCCAATTAAATAAGTACCTACTATAACTGACCATACATTTAATTTTTGTGGTCTTTGAATATGGTTTTCTCTGGTTTTCGCGCATTCAGTGTGAATTTCACACGAGTTCTGCTATTGAATACAAGTTCAACCATATGTTCACTTGATTTTATGTAGTCTGAAAGATCTTAAATACATAAAACAGTGCAAAATATGTAGATTTTAATAAATTTAAATATTTAAATGGAAAATGCTGTGATTTTGACCTTTGTTCACAATTTAAATTATGAACTAAAATTGACAGTAGTTGTGGTTCAAAAAGTTCTGCAATTTAAATTGCTTCTCTAAAATGCCGTTCTCTAAACCGTTCTCCTATTCATAAGACGACGGTACAAAAAACTGTAAGGCGATTTGAGGAATCTGGAAAAGTAAAAGATAGATACCGATCAGGTTGATCGAAACGAGTTATCAATGACAACAAAAACTTCAGATATAAGCAAAGTTTTGTTGAAGATCCACATACATCCCCAGGCAGGTTTGCACAAGTACATGATGTAGGTCATTCTTCAGTCTTACGTTTATTACGTAAAAATAAATTTAAATCATACAAAATTAACTTATTGCAAGAATTAAGTGAAGATGACTTTGGTCGTAGATTAGAGTTTACTGAGGTAATGATGGATAAAATTGAAAATTATTAAAATTTCCTGAACAGAATATGTTTTTCCGATGAAGCAACTTTTACACTGTGTGGAAGTGTAAATCGACACAATTTAAGGTACTGGTGTGACGTAAATTCACACTGAAGACTGAATGCGTGAAAACCATACTCAAAGACCACAAAAATTAAATGTATGGTCAGATATAGTAGTTACTTATTCAATTGGGTCATTTTTTGTCGAAAGAAATTTAACGTCAGATAGTTGATGTAAATGTTCGGCGATATTTAGACGAGATATTTCCTGGACGATAAATTGGTAGACAAGGTAGAATTGAATGGCCTCCACGTTCACCCGATTTCAATCCTAAAGATTATTTTTATTAGGGATACTTGAAAAATTCAGTTAACAAAACTTAAACAGCAAGTCTTGCAGAGCTAAGGCAACGAATTATCAATGAATCTCGAATAATTTCTAGACAATCATGGAGAAATGTGGTAGACGCCTTCTACCATCGATTAGGGTGCTGTCAACTCACAAATTGAGCACATTTTGAACACTTAATAACGTAACTACGATGTTAAAAAATGTGCTAAACTATCAATTCGGTTTTATGTATTGATGACCTTCCAGATTACATAAAATCATAAGTGTTACATATGGTTGAACTCGCATTGAATAGGAGATTCCAATAATGACTGAATATACAGGGTGATGTATTTGAAAAATCAAAGTTACTAATAATATAAGAAAAACGGCAAATCTGGCAACATTGTAAATATCAAATATCTCCGTATCCCAAAATAGGTGTATCTCAAATTTTGTACAATTATGATTAGCATTTTACGAGATAATTAGCCTTTTCCAGACTTTTGGGCCACTCTGTATTTAGATGTATCAAACTGTACTTTTCCGGGTGTTTGACTATATGCTCGAAATAGATTATTGTATGTATCGTTCTTCTAGAATAAATATGGACTTTAACCAATCCTTTCGAATAATGCAGAATTCTCTATAAAGATTAGTTAAACCTGCTTTGGTCACAATACACGTCGACTCTTTGGACATGCATTGAACGCTTTTTGATCCAAATATGATTTTTCATTAAAAATAAGGGTCAGTTTCTCACTGCTCTAGAGCCCATTCAGCAAACACAAGTCGCTGTCTATACAAGGATCTACAGACCGAGAGTTTGGTATAAATTCCACGGCTTCGCGCAATCGTACTTGTAAGTTCGTATAGTCGGCTGGGGTTACAATTTGCCAAATTTAAATGTAATCGTTTCTACTCATTCATATTAATATTATAATGTATAATATATTAAAGTTTTTAATATTGGTAATATTATTAAAGCTTTTAATATTATTTTTTAATATTAATAATAATATTAAGTAATTAAATATTGCGCCTTGCTTAAAAAAAATACGAGATAAATAACTCGTTTTTTTTTATATGAAAGTGCAATTTTCTTGCAAATGCCTTGAGAAGGGAAATTTCCAATATAACACACCAACCAAAAGACAAAAATATTAACTTAGGTATATGCAATCATTATCACTGCTTAGCGTATTTTCATAGAAATCAACCGCTGTGCTGACTAGTATTTTTTTTTTAAATTGTGATGAATAAATAAAGTATAATATATTAAATAAAAGGTATTTTAAATAAATTTGTAATATTTTATAGGAAAAGAAGAAAAGACTCAGTTCCGAGTCGTGAGCGTATTCCTTATATTTTCTTTAATTGTGTTAAGCTACTCGGATGTGAGTCGTTGTTATAATTATTCAAAAAAATTAATTTACAATATTTTTTATTAAATCAAATGAGAAATATTATAGCAAATTAAGAACTAAGGGAAAAAAAACAAATTTTCATTTCCTAGCAAATTGTTCCTGAACACTTAAGATTAAAACTTCCAAATAAAATTTGGATAATATTGTAAAGGCTTTTATACACTAAAATTAAATTAAAAAAGAACATAAAAAAAGTGGAAAAATAATAAAAAATTCCCAAATTTAAATTTATCTCGAAAACAAAATACGATCTGGAAAAAGAATACCGGAAATGTTTAATTTTTTTGAGCTCTTCAATTGTGTAGTACCTTCAATTTCAGTTTTTTTCAACAATACTCGGGTATTCCGATTTAGTACTCTCAGCCTTATAAGAATTTACAAGAAATTAATATCGGATGAAGTTTCAACAAGCGAAATGAAAATCCTAATATTAAACAGCATTATGACCAGGTACAATATCTGACTGTTATGAAAATTAGTAGGTAATTAGAAAGTCAGTATGGGCAAAACCAGCTTATTCAAATTATAGGTACCTACCTTTAGTCTTGTATTGAAGGATTTTAATTTATTACCCTTAGCATACGTAAAGATATAAAAAACGAGTTATTTATCTCGTACTTTTTTTAAGCAATTCGCAATATTTAATTACTTAATATAATTATTAATATAAAAAAATTATATTTAAAGCTTTAATAATATTACCAATATTTAAAACTTTAATATATTATACATTATAATATTAATATGAATGAGTAAAAACGATTACATTTAAATTTGGCAAATTGTAACTCCAGTAGACTTAGTTCACGAACTTACAAGTACGATTGCGCGAAGCCGTGGAATTTGTACCAAACTCTCGGTCTGTAGATCCTTGTGCTGTCTATGGTCATTTACCTTCCGCTCCTGGGTCAGTTGAATTCTGTACGGATGCAGGCCGAATTTACAATTCTCTCTGAATTTTCTACACACTCTGCGGCGATATTTTTTTCCTGCGGCAATATTTTCTGCAGGTTTTGAGTTTAGGCAACTTACAGATGTGGGTTGATTTTTGAGTGAGCCAATGAAGTCAAACTTATCCACGACACTGTGAATAGTTCTGACACTGAGGACGATTATGGCGAACATAATCGAGCGGGGTGTGTTATTGATATAGAACACTCGTTTTGATAAAGTAGTTCTATTATTTACACAGGTCGTAATTTATATTCATCCATGGAAATTTGTCAAAACACACTGAATAAATAGTAGCTAATTTAACAAATATAGTTTGAAGAATATGAAGGCTACCAGCGGTCAAAGTTCGGAAGTCTCTATTGGAAGACACGTCTAGGTATTATTAATATAATATCGTAAGAAAAAAATCTGCTTATTCATTGGCGGATTAATACCTCGATGGAATGTTGTCACTTCATATTTTTATTACAGTCTGAAGGTGTTCCTAGAAGTTTTCCCTTGTGGTGGTATCTCTGTTGTTCTCTGGTGCATAGATTGCTATTACGTTTAGAGATTTGACATCCAGTTTAACTTTTACACTAACTATTTTTTTAGAGGTATATTTACATTCTTGTACTTACTTACTACGTGGCGTTACAACCCTTCGTGGGTTTTAGTCGACTCTACAACATGCCTCCACTGTTTTCTGTCTTGAGCAACCTCCATCCAATTCTACACGTCCATAGTGCTTAGGTCTCCTGCTACATTATCTCCCCACCGGAGACGAGGGCGTCCGCGTGGTCTCCTTCCAGTTGGGACTTCCTTCCACACCAGTCTTACTGTTCGTTCGTCAGAATGTCTTCTGAGGTGTCCTGCCCATTGGAGTCTTCTGGACTTTATTTCTTTTATGATGTTGGCGTCTGGGTAAAGTTCTTCGAGTCTTTGTTAGTTCTTATCCTATATTGTCCTGATGTTTCATCCAGCACAGGACCAAAGATCTTCCTTAGGATTTTTATTTTCCAAACACATAGTCTCTCTTTGTTTGCCTTTGTTATTGTCCACGTTTCGCTTCCATACATCACAACGGGTCGTATGATTGTTTTATAGACCTTTATCTTCGTACGTCGTGTTAGTTGTTTTAATTTTATAAGGGTTTGGAGGGTAAAAAGACATCTGTTGCCGGCCTGAATCCTGTTGTTTATTTCTTGTGATCCGTTATTGTCTTCAGTTATTGTCGTTCCAAGATACTTGAATTCTCTAACGCTCTCAAAGTTACAGTCATCGATGGTGATTTTCTGACCGATTCTGTCTCTTCTTTGGTTATTGCGGCTCATATACATATATTTCGTCTTGTTTTCATTGATTTGGAGCCCCATATTCTCTGCTTCCTTCTCGAACCTCACGAAAGTCTTCTTCATCCTTAATCGTGTGTTTCTTATTAGATCGATATCGTGTGCAAATGCCAGTAGTAAGTTTGGTCCTTCTAGATGAAATACTGTATTAGGTTTTTCGATTCTTGCACTTCTGATTATCTGCTCCAGAGCTAAGTTGAAGAGTTGTGGTGAAAATGCATCTCCCTGTTTTAGTCTATTGTTTATTTCAAATGTCTCCGAGTATTGTTGTCCAACTCGCACCTTACATCGTAACCGTTCCATACACATCCGTATCAACCTGACTAGTTTTTTTGGAAAGCCAAGTTTATGCATCACTGTCCACAGTCTGTCCCTGCATACTGTATCAAATGCTTGTTTAAAATCCATGAACATCTAATGAAGCTCACGATTAAACTCTCAGCATTTTTCCATTATCTGTTTTATTGTGAATATCTGGTCAATAGTAGATGATTTCTTCTGTTTATGTTTTGGTTCTTTCTGGCAGGATGTTTGCAAGGATTTTGTAGGTGATATTTAGGAGTGTTATTCCCCTGTAGTTAATACATTGCTTTTTATTTCCTTTTTTGTGTATTGGTACAATACCCCCTTCTTTTAATTCATCTGGCATTATTTCTTCTAGCCAAATGTCTTGAATTAGCTTGTATTTAGAACTGTACAACGTTTTTCCTTCATGTTTTAAGCATTCTGCGGCTATACCATCGCTACCTGGTGTCTTATTATTTTTAAGTTTTTTAATTGCACCATTACTTCTTTGTATGTCGGGTATTGGTCTTCTATTTCAGCTGTATGTACCTCTATGTTTAATGTATTTCTGCTAGATTGGTCATTCAATAGTTGATAGAAGTATTCCTTCCAGGTTTTTAGGATTTCCTTGTCATCCGTGATAAGCTGTCCACTTTTGAGATTTACTTACTAGTAGATAAAGATTTACTTTATTATTAAAAATTTAATCAGCTAGATGGTCTTCTAGTCTACCGTTCCTAAATAATTTTATACCAAGATATCATAGATTCCCAAAACAATAGTATATCAAGTTTTTCCCATATATTCTATGTCTCAATGTATGTAGATCAATCTTACTCTTTCATATTATCAAAACACTTAAAGTATTCCCAATTACGTATACATTAAAAAATTCTCTATATTATTGCGCTAACTCTGTTATAATTAAAGCCGGTGGTCTCATTTAACAAAGATCATTTTCTAGGTTCTTGGTTGTAATCAGAGCGGCCTTATGATTAACCCCCAATTAGAGTCAATAAAAATTCTTTCACCAGCTATTCATAAAGTTGAAACAATACCTAAATTAAAAGAACCGCAATGTAGCCTTAACAGTCACACCAACTTCCGTATTTTACCTCCGGCAAATGGCGCTAGTTCTTTGACTTTTGAGGAATTCGAAGCAATGACGGAGAGAACTAAGAGACGAAGAAGACGACAGAGAGGAGGTCATGTTAACAAACCTAAACTTGAAGATTTTCGAGACGATCCCGAGTTGAGTCAGGAATTGGAAAAGTTTGCTGGGCAATTTAATTTTAATAATTATTTATCTTAGGCTTTTGTGTTTTTTTTTAAATAAGTTAAATAAATGGTTTCACACATTTTATTATTAATCTCTATGGGTCTATGTAATGATATGCTATTGTTAGGTAACCCGGACTACTAACGTGGGCATTGTTGGTTGCCTAAGGTGGAGGGACGATCATTATCGTCGGCATGTCATAGTATTATTAACACGTGTCTATTTAATGTATCTCAAAATAAAAGATAATAAAAATTCTATTGTGGAGTTTAATATTATTTAATAATATAATCCTAATATTGCACTGTAAGGTACCAGATGCATGGAGAAAGAGGATAATGATACCAATGTTCAAGATAAAGAAGACTCCAACAATTATAGAGGTATAAATCTACTGAACACCGTACTTAAGCTTACCACAAAAGTCCTAACCCACAAAATCAATAAACTAACAACTTTATCAGATGAACAACAAGGACTTAGATCCATTTACTGCTCCTTAAGTTATCTGCATACGTCTTCACGGATATTATTCCATATTACATACATATAGACATTAGAATAATTGACCTGCATGTTGTGACATTGGTTTCGTGATTATTACACTACTTATAGGCATAATAGAGATATTGTCAAATGCACCTCCGATGTCTAAGAATTCTGCGAGTGCAACTTCATTCTGGTGTAAACTTCTTTCGAGTCTTGATCAGTTAGTTTCAACTAACTTCCCCCTTTAATTAACACATTGCCGTGGCTGGCGTTTGTAACGATGTGCATCCATACACAAGCAGTTCCCCCAAAAGTTTCTCTTCCACTGACATGCGCTAGAGGTGATGGACGGCCTACGACGATATAAAACAGCGTACACCACAAGATAGAACGGAGTTCCGCTAGAGTGCTGATCTAGTGGGAACTCCACTAGGCGTCTGGGTATTGACTGAAGGCCAAAAGTCCGGAGTTCCGTCAGAGTATTTATCTGATAACAACTCCACTGGTCATAGAGTATTGACTGAAGGCCAAGCGCTTTTGCTATAGTATTGATCTAGTGGCAGTTCTGTATCCGGTCTGGGAGTATTTATCTGAGACAGACCTATTGTTTTCTGTAACTAAGTATTGATTAGTCGCTGTCCGATCCTCGCCAGACCAAGTGTAGACATCTGAACCTTCGTTTCATTGAGTCTGTTGTCTAAAAGAGCTACCCGTCACATAAGTAAAGTTTCTCTCATATATACCTTAATATTTCAATTATGGAGCCTATAATGGATTCTAGTCTCTCTTAAACAGATTGTAATTCATTTCATTTTTACTAAAAACGACGTTTTCCTCCAGATTGTTTATCAATGTCTGTGATCTACTTCGGTACGTGTTTTTTATACATTTCTTTAAATTGAGGTCTATTCTTGTTTAATTCTGTAAATATGGTAAATATATTATATAAAATTTGTATAGTTTCGTAAAATAAAAATGACTCCAAAATTATCATTTAATAAAATAAAGTTAGATATAAATATACAACAAACATAGAACAATCCAAAGATTTGTTTTAATCAACCTCTTCAACTTTTGGTCCACCTTGACCTCCTTGGCCAGCTTGTCCACCTTGTTGGCCACCTTGATGAAGTTTCATCATGATTGGAGAACACTCTTGCTGCAGTTCTTTCATCTTGTGTTCGAATTCATCCTTCTCAGCGAGTTGGTTGGCGTCCAGCCATGCGAGAACTGCAGAACACTTATCTTGGACCAATTTTTTATCTTCAGCCGATAGCTTATCGGCAGGAGCATCTTCAACGGCCTAAAATAAAAGCAGTATTATTAGACTATGAAATATTAAGCAAATCGATCATGTTAGGATTTATTAATTTACTGCAACAACCACGGAAATCGTATTTCTAATAAAATCTTAATTATTACGCAATCTTGATGAAATTTCCAAAGCCTTTAGGAAATGCTCCTAAAAGTTTTGAATGTTGACTGTAAAGTTTATAATAAAAATCCCAAAATCCTCATAAAAATAATAAAAGATAAAATATTGCTTCGATGTAGGTGGTATTATGATAGCACCATTCATATAATCTAGTTTTTTTTTAGTATCCTTAATTTTTATTTTATTTAGTGTTATATGTAAACTTAAAAAGAAGCTGCGAGGTATGTTCTTTTTCTTACCTGTTTGGCACTAAAAATGTATCCTTCCAGCTGATTCCTAGCAATAATCCTTTCACGTTGTTTCTCATCTTCAGCGGCATATTTTTCTGCATCAGAAAGCATTTTGTCAATCTCAGCTTTAGACAACCTTCCTTTGTCATTGGTAATGGTTATCTTCTCCGATTTGCCAGTACTACTGTCCCTAGCAGATACGTTCAAGATACCATTCGCGTCTAAATCAAAAGTGACCTCTATTTTTGGAATACCTCGTGGAGCTGGTGGAATGCCCGTTAGGTTGAATGTACCCAAAAGATTATTGTCTTTCGTCATAGCTCTTTCTCCTTCAAAGACTTGAATAGTGACAGCGTTTTGGTTGTCGGCGTAAGTAGTGAATGTTTGTTGTTGTTTGCAAGGGATTCTAGAATTGCGTTCGACAATTTTGGTCATAACACCTCCAGCGGTTTCGATTCCAAGAGACAGCGGAGCGACATCTACTAGAAGTACATCCTGAATTTGGGAGCTAGTATCTCCACTGAGGATAGCTGCTTGTACAGCGGCACCATAAGCTACAGCTTCATCAGGATTAATGCTAAGATTAAGAGCTTTTCCACAGAAAAAGTCCTGCAGCATTTTCTGAATCTTGGGAATTCTAGTGGAACCACCAACCAGAACAACATCATGGATTGCTCCTTTGTCCAATTTAGCGTCCGTTAAAGATTTCTCAACTGGTTGAAGAGTAGACCTGAATAAGTCCATACAAAGTTCTTCAAATCTTGCTCTTGTAACTTTAGAGTAAAAGTCTACTCCTTCATGTAGAGCGTCAATTTCAATACTAGCTTCAGTACTGGAGGAAAGTGTTCTCTTAGCCCTTTCGCAAGCTGTTCTTAAACGTCTTAGAGCTCTAGTATTATTACTTAGATCTTTCTTGTGTTTTCTCTTAAATTCCTCTACGAAGTGGTTGACTAATCTATTATCAAAGTCCTCCCCACCTACAACAAAAAAGTAAACACTAGAAGAAATGTTTTCTATAATAATATATATCTCATACCTAAATGCGTATCTCCAGCAGTAGATTTAACTTCAAAGAGGGACCCTTCATCGATAGCTAAGATAGAGACATCAAAGGTGCCACCCCCAAGATCGAAAATAAGAACGTTCTTCTCACCTTTGAGGTTTTTGTCTAGACCATAAGCCAAAGCAGCAGCTGTTGGTTCGTTAATTATTCTTAAAACGTTAAGTCCGGCTATCGCACCTGCGTCTTTCGTGGCTTGTCTTTGAGAATCGTTGAAGTACGCTGGTACTGTGACGACGGCATCTGATACTTTTCCTGGAAGAGTAGTTTTATAAGTTAGTTATGATAAAAAATTCTGTGAATTAAGTTGGTTGGTTTAAAATCAGGAAAAACTAGGAGATTTCTATAATATTGTTCTAGATAAATATTCATAGATATATACATGCAAGCTCAAAACTTAAGACCAATCAAGAGAAAAGCTCTTCGTGACAAAAAAATTCTAATAAAAGGAGGAAAAATTTAGAAAGCTGTAAACTATATGAAGAAAAGGGTTACAGATAATAGAGATAACAAACAGGTTATAGCTAGATCCACCACGATACACCGAAGAGTAGTGTGATATATCCAACTTTACTGGGTGATATAGTTACAGTGATATAGATAGGCACCATGTCTTATTCTATACGGATAGCCTGAAGTGATCATAGCATATGGAAAATTTAATGACAGGATCAGAAATATATAATGAAACAGATACTGAGTTTAGTTACAGAATGGACTTCAAATTTAGAGCTTAATATAAGCAGTCAGAAATTCAAAATCATGAAACTTACCAGGAGAAGCAATTTAAAGGGAAACCTAAATGCTAAAAATGTAAATGTGTAAATGTTTAAAAACATTTAAAGGGTTTTGACCCACATATTTTGGTGGCTACTGCATGTACAACCGTTTGCACTGATGATGGATTGATTAATCCGAAAACGTTTTGCAATGTGTTTGTGATAGCCCGTTTGGGGCATTTTTATATACCTTTTATAAAGGATTTTAAACAATTTTTTTAAATGTGGAAGATATTATCGGCAGATTGAACAGATTGCGAAAAGAGCGGTGACCACGTAATAATAGCCAGATATTTGGAATAAAAACATGTTCTTTTAAGAAACTTACCTCCTAAATATGTTTCTGCAATTTCCTTCATCTTGGTGAGAACCATCGAGCTAACTTCCTCTGGTGCGAATGTTTTCACTTCTCCCTTGTACTCAACTTGGATTTTCGGTTTTCCACAGTCATTGACTACATTAAAAGTCCAATGTTTCATGTCGGCTTGAATTTTGGGGTCGTCAAATTTTCTGCCAATCAATCGTTTGGCATCGAATACTGTGTTTTTAGGGTTCATTGCCACCTAGTAAACAAAAAGTTTCGTAAATCATTAAGAGCGAGGTCTTTAAACAAGCAAATTAAAGCAGTTGGTTACTTTTTCTTAGTCTATGAGTATACAATGTGTCCAAAAAGTATGGAATAAATTCGATATTTCCTAAATGAAAAGCCTCTTTAAAAAAATCTAAAGCACATTAATTTTTTAATAAAATGTTCTACATTTTACAATAAAATTTCATTATACAAGGTTATACACATTACAGTAATGACGTCATCGGCTCTTTTTTTAAATGTAACACCCTGTATATTAGGACATTTTTAGATCGATAAAAATGAGCTGATTTTAAGTAAAACGTATAATACTCGGATCTAATGGATATAATTTGAAAGATATGCCCTTAGAAAATAAATTATTTATAATCACAAAAAGAGAAATCATACGATTTCTACCTGGTGAAATCGAATTCAAATATCAGCCACCGTGCTTCCTAAAACTTGCGAAGCAAAAAGCTTGATGAATAAATCGGCAAGAGAATCTAAAATTGCATTCCAAATGCCGTTCATCATGGCCAATATTCGTAGTGAATTCGATTTCTGGTACTCCAAACGAAGTAAAGAAATAAAACACAATGACGGTATTAGATTTTGATTCGATACAGAGCAGCCACAAGCCGCATATACGTATTTCGACCTCTTTAGGTCTCCTCAGTACGGTATAGCCACTACTCCGTATCCGGAAGCACGGTGGCTGATATTTGAATTTGATTTCGCCAGGTAGAAATCGTATGATTTCTCTTTTTGTTTTTAGATGGTGTAGTTACGTTTGTACATAGGTATTTTTAATAACTATGGTCTACGACGGGAAAATATTTTGATTCGATACGGAGTAGTGGCTATACTGTACTGAGGAGACCTAAAGAGGTCGAAATACGTATACGCGGCTTGTCGCGGCTCTGTATCGAATCAAAATCTAATACCGTCATTGTGTTTTATTTATAATCAGTTTCAAACAAGTAGCCTAGTTCTAATTTTTGAATAAACTGTAATTATTTTTAGTAACGTTCAATAACATAATTGTATTAATTCGTGAATGTTCTGTATTATTGCTTAAAATTAATTTTAAGTAGAAATGAATTGAGTGTAAAGCAAAGAATTGAAATACTTATGATGATTGGGTATGGAGACAAATCGCGAATTCAGATGGAAGTGTGTAATTCATTTAATGATAAATATCTAGAAATACCCATCACGCAGTCAACAGTAAGTGAGATTGAAAAGAAATTTCGAGAAACTTGTACGGTTGAAAATGCACGTAAATCAGGTCGTCCCTCTGTAAATTATGTTACATTATATGTTCTACTTGCTTTTACGAACACTTCTGTTCGTAATGTTAGTAGTGCTCTCGATGTTTGCAAAACAACAGTACACAAAGTAAGTAAAATGCACAGTTGTACAGGAATTAAACGACGATGATCCAGATAAAATAATAAAATTTTGCAAAATAATAATGGATAACAGCTGTAATACTAGCGGAGTTAGGACTGCTGTAACCCTTGTAACATCCTCGATTTACACTCCAAAGGATGCTTATCTCTGCGAGCGGATTTGAGACCTTCTGGCTCAACTAGTCTGAATGGAGGTGGTTTCTCCCTCGTTGATTTACAAGAGGGTAGGAAAGAAAACAGAATAGGCTGAAGGATACTTTGATGCAGGCCCTGTAAAGAGTCAGAGGTTATTGGCTTGCGTTAGAAGCCGGGAACATGTAAAAAGCAAAAATGGGTTCTCTTCTAGTCTCTATTTAACGGTAAAAAAAACAAACCACTTTCAACTTACTATATATTTAACAAATCGTAAATTTACAACTTTTACACCAAGATGTAGAAGAAAACTAGTATTGGTTATCAATTTTGCGAAGGGAGGCGAGAAGAGATTTTACTAAGAGAGTTAAAAGGAGTTTAGGAGGGTTTACTAACTATTTGGGGAGTTTCCCCAAATAGTTAGTATATATTGTTCGTTACCTTAGCGTACTTAGGCTATAGCTAACGAATACGCCTTGTAGTCCACCCTGGAACTCAGGAACAGCCTGGATGAACACTGGAATGCACTGTACGTTAAGGCGGTACTGAAAGGCTCAATTATCGTGATAAATCGATATCACGATAATTGAGCTGAACACCCGTGACGCCTGACCGATTAGCACTCTAGGGCGCCCCCGCGCTGACTGACCGAGCGCCGAAGTACCACTGACGCCGGTCGCCGGGCACTACTCTCTGGCTCGGTTGCCAGAACTCCACTCCTGGTCCGGTCACCCGAACCCTACCACCTGGTTCGGTCACCAGCACCCTACTGCCTCGTTGACCAACCTCTTTTGTTTTTATGTACTGCCAATGCGTACCTTCATTACTTCATCATAGTCCCAAGTGGAACTTGCTTCTTACCGTTTTCCCCTCGAATTTGTGCTGATTATCTCTGATATCACTCTGTTACAATTCGTATTTTGTATTATTTACCAACGAAGGTCTTCGCATTTCGTAATTCTTAAACATTCGGGCTTGTATCAAACTAGGTCAAATTGTTTTTCTTTGTTTAATTTGAACTGTGTACGTTAAACTGTATCGAATTTATTCTTTATTTACTTTGGAGTATATAATGATTATTTAATTAATTCTAATTATTCTTTTCTAGGCTAACTACCCCTTATTTTGTTTCTTTTAGCACCCTACTGCCTCGTTGACCAACCTCTTTTGTTTTTATGTACTGCCAATGCGTACCTTCATTACTTCATCATAGTCCCAAGTGGAACTTTGCTTCTTACCGTTTTCCCCTCGAATTTGTGCTGATTATCTCTGATATCACTCTGTTACAATTCGTATTTTGTATTATTTACCAACAAAGGTCTTCGCATTTCGTAATTCTTAAACATTCGGGCTTGTGTCAAACTAGGTCAAATTGTTTTTCTTTGTTTAATTTGAATTGTGTACGTTAAACTGTATCGAATTTATTCTTTATTTAATTTGGAGTATATAATGATTATTTAATTAATTCTAATTATTCTTTTCTAGGCTAACTACCCCTTATTTTGTTTCTTTTAGCACCCTACTGCCTCGTTGACCAACCTCTTTTGTTTTTATGTACTGCCAATGCGTACCTTCATTACTTCATCATAGTCCCAAGTGGAACTTTGCTTCTTACCGTTTTCCCCTCGAATTTGTGCTGATTATCTCTGATATCACTCTGTTACAATTCGTATTTTGTATTATTTACCAACAAAGGTCTTCGCATTTCGTAATTCTTAAACATTCAGGCTTGTATCAAACTAGGTCAAATTGTTTTTCTTTGTTTAATTTGAATTGTGTACGTTAAACTGTATCGAATTTATTCTTTATTTAATTTGGAGTATATAATGATTATTTAATTAATTCTAATTATTCTTTTCTAGGCTAACTACCCCTTATTTTGTTTCTTTTATTTTCTTGTTATATTGACTTGTTACATACCGGGCTAACTGATTAACGATTGCATTTGGGGGGTGGGGTTGTTTTCCTTGGGTATGTGGCTGATACATTACACAGCTACCGAAACCCTCTCTTGGTTCAAAATATTATTTTTTCTGATGAGGCTACATTCAAATTAAATGGCGAGGTCAACCGTCAGAATTGTAGATACTGGGCAAAAGAAAACTTCAGCTGGATGCGGAAACATCATACACAATACCCGCAAAAGGTAAACGTATGGGCAGGCATTGTAAGAAATAAAATCATTGGACCCTACTATTTCGAAGGTAATTTAAACATGCCAGCATACCTTCAGTTTTTAAGTGGGTATCTCGCACCTACTTTAGTCAATTTATTTCCCAGTACAATTAATCTTGGAGGTTTTGATAGAAGTTTATGGTTTCAACAGGATGATGCGCCTCCAGATTATGCTTTAGATGTTTGAAGGTACCTAGACGAAATTTTTCCGAATAGGTGGATTGGAAGACGTGGACATATTGAATGGCCATCGAGGTCACCAGACCTCAATCCTTTGGATTATTTTATGTGGGGCCATTTAAAGAATGTTGTTTATAAAACGAAACCTGCAAATATTTGTGACTTAAAAACAAGAATTCGTAAAGAAATAAACAATTTTTCTCAAGAAACCATAAACAAGGTTTTACAAGAATTTGTACAACGTTTGGGTGTCAAATACAACAATGGCTAGAATTTGAACATTTACGATTAAGGTTACTTTCAAGTTATTTATTACAATTTATTTATAATTTATTAATAATATAAATCAATAAAAAATCATTTTCTATGCGCATATCTTTCAAATTATATCCGTTAGACCTCCCAGTATTATACTTTTTGGAATAAGCTCATTTTTATCGATCTAAAAATGTCCTAAATACAGTGTGTATAACCTTTGTGTATGTAAATAAATGTGTATAACCTTTTATAATGAAATTTTATTGTAAAATGTTGAATATTAAATTAAAAATCGACGTGTTTTAGATTTTTTTAAAACGGCTTTTCATTTAGGAAATATCGAATTTATTCCATACTTTATGGACACACTGTATATACGGTATTTATTTATTTATATTAACGATAGAATTACACTACGGTAATAGTATAAACATTATAAACAATAATAACAATCTTACTAATTAGATAGAACATAATTTATTATTCCGCAGAAAATTTTTATCATTTTTTATAAGACTATGTCAACCGTATTTATTTAATTGTCGACAAGTAAACATACTATCAATAGCAATTTAATTAAGCCATAATTAAGGTAATTAAGGTGAATTAAAAACCTATTGTTAATAAAATCTGAAAGTTTTTACTTGCAAAATTAAAATCCCATTGTGAAAAGGTATAAAAGTTTTATATTCACAAATAAATAATTAAAGTGTTAAATTTTTAAATAGTCTAGGCACTTTTTGACCATAATGTGAGATGGATGTACTAAAATATAAAAAATTACAATATGTTTTCCCAACCAACAACATCAAGAGAGGCATTACGTGTGTAACAA